CTATGTTTCCCTTTTTATTTCGCGGATTTTAATAAAAAAAATCGAATATTTTGATAAATCTTGAATTAAATAAATAAATTTATATATCCAACTGTATTGTGTTATCATGCGGGACAATATGTTTTTTTGGTAGGGATTTTTACATCATTTGTTTAAATTTAAGATTTTTAATCTAGAACGTTAAAGTGAGTTTCTTTTCGATCAAAATAAAAATAGAAGCAAACAAATTTTCATAATAAATAATACCCATATGTAAATTGACATAAATAAATAATATTTTGAATACTATAATAATTTTTGGTTTAGATTGTTCGTTGGCGTATCTCTACTTTCTCTAAATGCATGTATAGGAAAAAATAAATCTGTTAGTTTTAAGAACTTACTGTTTCAGACCGGGTTTGTAGATTGATAATTATCTGACCGTTGAACAACTATTTAAACATTTTGCCGTTTGCACAGAGTATATAGAATTACAGAGAAAACATCTTCAATTACAGTTTAGAAATGAGAGATCACAAAAGATAAAATAGGAACCTTAGTGTCTTTCTTTTATAAGAAAGGTGCACAAAATATTTTAATTTAACAAACCCGTAGGAGGGAGGGGGGGGGGGAGGGGCAATTTCTATATAAATCCTTATTAGGATGTAATATTTTTTATTTTGCATTAAATAGCAGATTTTGTTTATTTTCTTGTCGTATTATATAAATAAGTAAATTGTCCATTCAAAGTCCATCAAGATCGGTAATTTTATATCGTCTCTGCTCTTTGTTAATTTTATCTATATTTCATATCACTATAAATGTAGGATGACTTTTTTATTCTTGATTTTTATCTTTGTAGTAAAAGTCAAGTTTTAGTACTTTACACAGAACATATGAACAAATCAAATCACAGCTGTGGAATTTGCAAAAGTTGGATTGGGCCGTGTAAAAATATATATATACATGCTTTTTTTCATGGAAAGGAAACAAATTAGACAGAACACAATAACTACTAACTCGCTATTGGCAAATTTTGCCTAAGTAAACAAAACTTGCAACTTTTGATTGGTCTACAATTCATTTAATAGATCCTGTTTATATTACCTTTCAAGAGGGGGTCTACGCTAAGGTTATCAGGCCCCCACGCAGGGACGTAGTGGAGGTTTTGCTTGGGGGGGGGGGGATTGAACTTTTGTCCGAATTTTTTGTTTGTGAACCCCCCTAAAAATCCCGTATTAAGAAAATAAATTTAAGTTTAAAGTCTATATTAATCTATCTGACTATTAGCCATCTGACCATCAGTTGCGCAACTACAGGGGAGGGGGTAAAACCGAATTCCCCCTCCCCCTCACTTGACTTCAGCATGATCATGATTGTGGACCATCTTTTATTGAAATTTGTCAATAAAAAAACAAAAAACATTTTTCTTTAATGCTTTAACGCATTTATATTAGAATTTCTAACTATTTTCTCGGTTTCGACTTAAAGAAAGAAAGTTATTCTTAATTTATTCTGTCAAAAAAAAAACCTATACGTATGTTATTTCTCATCAGTATTACATTACATATATCATCTAATGTTACACATAACCTGACAACCTAAGAAGATAAACTAGAAAATAAGGATTATATCGGGCTGTTAGGACTTTTGCAGACTGGAGGAAAACAGGGATAATCCCCTTACTGGCAAACGAGGACAGAGGGACTTCGAACAGAGAGATAATTATTAATTATGGACAGACAACATATAGTCAAGTACTGCCAGGAACTATTTTCTACTTACGACTGCACAGACCTACGAATTACGATTAAGGGACATAGTGGACAATTATGTCTAGTAGACGAATTACAAAAACTGCTTTAGACTGTAATGATCGGGGGAAGGCAGGTGGCCATGAGCCACCACTATTTACCCTTTCGTTCCACATATTAGCTTTTTTCTCTTCCGGCAGCCATGCGCCACCACTATTTCCCCTTCCGGGCCACCACATTTGACTCTTCTAGGCAAAACTACTTTTTTAAATGGTTTTCAATCATTAAAACACGGGTTAAAGAAAGAATTCTATTCAAATGATGCGGCCTTAGAATTAATATACAATATTTAAAAGCTTTAATAATACTGCCTTTCCAAATTCAAGAATTATGGCTCTAGGGGGTGCACAGTGGTATCGCCCCGCCCCAAAGGTCCTGAGCCCCCTGGAAAGAAAAAAAATTGAAGACCCCCTTGGATAAATTTCTGAATATGCTCCTGTGTATATAATATCTTAATACATAGCAATATTGAAGCTTGAGTAGCTTGATACGATTGTTTAGGGGTTTATTCGCTGAGTTGTAGAGTTTTAATAAGTTCTGAGTCAAAACTAAAGAAAAAGCATGGGGCAACTCTAAATGATAAATTCTTTTCCATAAAGTAAGAATCACTGGACACTTTTATTTACATCAAATATGACGTAGACTAAACAATTAATAAACGAGAAGAATTAGTTTCTTTTTGTTAAAAAATGGTTTCTATAAAAGAATAAGAGACATATAAACAAGGTAATTAAGTGTACGAGTAGAAATATGATCCTACAAAATATTTTATCAAACCGAACAGTTTACAACTAAACAGATATTTACAATGTTACAAAAGCACTCTTCGCCAAATGCGTTATTTAGTGTGCACTGTGCATGCAATTACAGGTAAGGTTTGGAATCGTTCAATTCATCAAAAACAACCAATATAAAAACCTAAAATTGTCGTCTATTGAGTTGGTCTGGTATTATTGAAAACAATTTACATTTTTAAAAGTTGTTTAAAATAGATAAAACTATTAAGATCTAAAGACAAAAAGAATACAGCAACGTAAAACGCTGCATGATGTAATATTTGTTGATATTAATTGACACACTTGAAAATCACGCATCAGAAGATTCCGATTGTGTTTGATATTTTACGAAACAGATTTTTTTAAATGACATTGTCGCAATACTATCTACTAGTCACAGGCGTTACTACCGCCTCGACCGAAACTGTTTCCGGCGGAACCACCGTCACGCCCAAACACCTCGTTTGGATAGCGGGGGCGTTTCCCGTTTTCTCCAGGGAACTCCTCCCATACAGAAGGATTCATACGGAATTCAGATTCTCCTCCCATCATGGGATTCATTGCCCCCTGTCCTCCGCCGTTAATTCCCATCCCTCCTCCTCCAATCCTATCCGACATTCTGTTCATCATGTTCATCCCCATCTGCTGGTTGCCCCCTGAACATCGACCAATTAAACGTAAAAAAAGAAAGACTTGAAAGAAAATGCATAAAATGTTATAATTTTCCAAACCTTTAGACGAGATAAAAATATAAAAAAGGTTATAAACGCAAACCTTAGATATACAGGTTAACAACCTTGGAAGTTAATCAAGTTGTTCCACCTTTTGTTACTTTTTTTGAAAAATTAAATAATTTTCCTCATAAAATAATTTAACTTCACCAATTCAGAATCAGAAAAATATTTTCATAAATCTTCCTTCGAAAAAAAGCTTGTTTTTAATAGAAAAATAAAAAGATTTTTCATCAAAAATATATATGTATATATATATATCAGTTGAAGCGCAACAATCTTCTTATAACATTTTATTCATAAACAAATTGTTTCATGCTTTTAATGCAATCATCAGTATATGTATATATATATATTTATAAAATACAC